CCACCAAGCGGCGCAGCCTGGCCAAGAAGGTGCGTCCCCAGTCCGTGGTGGAGAATCTCAGCCTGGGCCACTTCCCCGACCTTTTGGAGTCGCCCTCCTCGCACCGCTCCAGCTCCCAGTTGTCCGCCCGGGCAGCTGCAGGTGCCGTCGCCTTGGCGGGAGCCTCCAACATGACCGACAGCATCGCGGTTATGGACGACGGGGGAGTGGACGAGTGCTGCGACTCGATCACCGAGCTGCCCAGCGCCTCGTTCCAGCTGCAGCACCTGGTCAAGGGTCGGCCCAAGCGGGCCAAGACGCGTGCTCCCACCCGGCCGTTGGTCAGTGCCGAGTGCGCCGGGGGCAGCAGGGAGATCGGAGAGGGTCTGGAGCACTTTTTCCGGCCCGGATCGGTGACGCCCACCACTCTGACTCCCTTGGTTTCGCCCACGTCGGAGGAATGCAGCTCGCTGTCCTTTGTGGACAGTCCCACGATGAGCCGCGATGGCAATGGACACATGACCTCCGAGGAGACCACGCCCATTCTCGAGGAGCGCCGACCAATCAAATTGGAGCGCCAGTCGCCACTGCTCAAGAGTAAGTAGAGAATATCGTTTCACCTCGATCACTTCTAAATGCTTCTTTCAATTTTACCAATCCCAGGTGCCTCATGGGCCACCCGTTCCCGCTCCACGGACAATCTGGAGAAGTATTCACCGCTGGTGGGACGCAAATCTCCTCTGGTCAAGATGCGAACAGAAGGCGGTACAGGAAACGCCGGTGGCGCTGAGGAGACAGCCCTACCCAGCTCAAATCTTTTAAAGGCCACCGGCCGGGAGGATAAAACACGTTCCCCCAGCAGCGATTCGATCAAGAGCCATGCCACCGGCGAGGGTAGCGTGATTGTGAAGACGGGCAATGGCATCCTGCGGACGCCCATAGTGCTGCAGAAGCCCCGACCATGGTCGGTGGTGGGCAGCGAGCCGAAGGCAAGCGGAGAGCTAATCACCGGAAACGGTAGTGCCGACTCCAGCAAGACAACGCCGGACAGACTGGAAGAAGGTATGTGGAGAAAGTAGAAAGTAATTGAATAGGTCAAGAAAAATAATTTATCCGTTCTCTTTAGATGACGTCGAGATTGTGACCTTTGGAACAAACTGCGGTGGCTCCATTGTGGGCATCACGCCGGGAATAGCCTTATCATCCGGTGGCGGTGGCAGCATAGTGGGCATTACTCCAGGTAAGCCACATCGAATGATGCAATGAATTGGTTATCCTAATACATTATTTTCAGGAGCCGCCCTAGAAAAGAAGTCTGTGCGAGAACTAGCAGCGGGTCTCAATAGAATGGGTAAGCTATCTACCAGTCATGAGCACGATTAGTTGCTTGAAAATGCCTGCTGAGCACTTAGATCCCTGATAGAAGTAGTTATGCAACCTCATTTGATTTCCTTTGTTTTGTATCTTATTTATTTTCATATTTTGATTGATTTGTTGTACTCGTTACTTGTAAAGAAATCCCCCTCAAGCCGCCGGTTATGCCCAGAACCCTGCTGAGCGCAGCCGGTGCCCGAACGAGCACTTCCTCCACGGGCTCCACCTCCAATGGTGGCTCAGTCACCTCATCCACCACCTCCACGAGCACATCGACGACAGTATTAAACCAGAGCCAGACGCGTTCGAAGATCGTGAGCTCGACGAGCAGCACTGGCAGCAGTGAGACGATCACAGAGCACAGCAGCAGCAGCAGCACCAGCACCACCTCCTCCAGCAGCCACGAGAAGCAGCATGCCAGGGCCTGTGCGAATCTGATCAGCAACGAGATCCTGAGCATGCGCAACGGGCAATTGGCGGCCAAGTCCGGAAGCTGCGCGGAAAGCGGCGGCGTGAAGCGGATCGCCGGCAAGGAGATCTCAACGCTATTCGAGGTTTGATCTCCGAAGCTGGAGCTGCATTGGGATAGCTTGCATTGATCACCGCTCAAAATTTGGTGGCCACGTTGCTTCGTTGATTTCGGTGCTCATCCTGTGCGTCTAACATCCGCATTTGTTACTTAGTGTGTAGTAGTTAAGTTGTGTCCACTAGCCAGTAAGCCGCATGTTGCCTGTACTCCATCTACTTTGTGTTTGCCTGTTGAGATGGCACATAAACGAACCGCCTAATAATAGAAACACTTTCCCGCTTTCCCACAGGAGACATTAGTTGAAGAACTGCAGCAGAGCATGGCGACCAGACGCGCGTTTAGAGACTCGCCCTACACCAAGGAGGATGTCGTTGATTTATAAGTGTTCTAGTTATATGCTCAACATTCCCTCAACACTCGGCCCCTAGTCCTCCACCCAACCTGCCACAGTTTCGCGTGATCGATCGTAGGGGTGATGATAAGATTAAGTGATGATGATGAGATGATGGAGACAGATGGATAGAAGGAAACGAGGTTGCAACTTATTCGTACTGAACCATTAATTTATGTGCAATGGCGCGTGTGTTGTTTTTATTTGGCAATTTAGAATGAACGTGATTTATTTATTGATATATATACCCTGATACTTTTATCCAAATTAACCTTTGCATATTTTTAAAGATGTTTTGTGTACTATATTTTATATTTTTATGTATTTTAAATGAGTTAAGTGCCAATTATATACAGAATTAATCTAAATCTACTTGTAGCTCGTGCTATACAGCAATTTCAATGAAACTAACGAAGAATACGCAATGAATATGATACACTATACATATTATGTAATTCGATTGCGTGCATAAGAACTATTTTAATGGCCTAAACCTAAAAAATCTAAATGAAATATAATATTTTTTATAACTGCTTCCAAATACAAATTTTATCGTTTATTATTTTCCCATTTTTATTTACCCAACTATACACTTACACTTATAGTATTCAAGCGACAATCCGTTTTCAACTTTTAAAGCGCATTATGCCGCCAGAAACGAATGCATTTATTTAAAAACAAAACGGAGACCGACGAGATCTTATTCATTATTTTCTAAAAAGTTAACAATTTACGCTAAGAATCTAGGCGAGAACGAAACCGATAAAGAATTACTAAAGCATTTAAACGACAGAAAACCGAGTACTACAGAAAACTAATTACTCTAATCGCGAATCGATCAATTTAAATTTTGATGATCTAATAGTTTGCACCAACGACACAGGAAATTTTAGGAGAAGCGTTTAAACAATTCCACCACCGACCACACACTTCGAGTTTTGAGTGTTACCCAACTCCCATTCAACTTCAAAAACCGAAAACGAATAACGAAAAAACTTAACGTGTTCATTAAAGTTAAGCAATTAAAAAAACTTCATTGTAATCTATTGAAATTCAAATTAAACGGAAAACGATAACGAAGATGAATGCGTTTTAATTTGAAGACTTCGATGGGCAGCATTGCACTTTTTCAAGGTACCGTTTCCACTTGGGATGTGTTACCGTTTGTTATCGATAACTGTTAGGTGCAAAGCGTACCCATCCAAAGTAGGGTAAGTTTGGGGAGGGAAAATAATTAGGGGATTCACTAAACTTTTGAATTGTTATGCTTCCATACCAGAGAGCTGCAACGAGTCAATCATTTTCGGGTACACCCGATCATTTACTCGTATCCGTTTTGATTAATCGCTTCGGGTGAGCGAAATGAAATGAGCGGTGAGCGAATGCGATCGTCCCATGAATGATCGTTTGTGATCGTTCAAGTGTGTGATCTGATCATGTGTGAACGTTCGGCTTGAAGATTTTACCCGTTTGTGATCGAATATTTTGTGCAATCGATTGTTGTGATCGTGCTTCGCGCCTATCGGTATGACAATGAAGTTCGTGTTATTGCTTTATATTTGGCACAACATATTTTTATATTTGCACAAAATGACAACAAGTAATAGATTTTAAAAGCGTTTTAGAACTAATATCAAATGGAAGCTACACGTTGTCAGGCCACCGGAAAGGAAAAAGTTTCATATGGAAAAAATATTTCTCAATAAACATATATGTACACACAAAAATAAAACTTGGTAAAATCAACTGTAATAATTGTCAAACAGGCCCCAACCAGCAAAATTGTCAATTCTACTAAGTAAATAGTCATTTCACAACAACAAAATACACACAATTAGCAAAGACACAAACCCAAAGCAAAAACAAAATACACGTAACCATTTTAATAGTTACGTAACTATCTTTGTTGGTCAATTTTACCAAGTTTTTTTTTGTGTGTAATACATTGAAGTGCACTTTCCATCTATTTTATTTCGTCGTCACAAGAAATCATATTAATCCGTTCACAATCTATTCATGTACAACTGACTCGAGGTCGCAATCATCGGGAACGATTGAGCGCTTCGGAACGATCATTTTGTTCACCTACACCCGAAGTTCAAAATCACATCATTGATCGTTACGAAGCGAGTCGGGTAGTTGATCGGATCGTACTTTGGCTTTCGGGTTTGTTCGTGATTATTCGTTGCCGAGTGAGTTTACCGGATTAAACGAAAATGATCGCGCGATGATCGATCGTACTCGATCATACTCGTTGCAGCTCTCTGTTCCATACAAAGTGTCTGTTGAATCGATGAAAAGCACAGTTTTCATTTAATTTTATAAAAGTCATAGCAACATTTTAGTATCTCCAGTACGCATTGTGTAAAATTTTCATTTTTGAAAATTCATCAGCATTTAAGGGAACGGCCCCTAATGGTTCCTGCTGGATTTTCAAACTGTTGTTTTTATTGTCAAATCTTAAGCATGTAAAATGCTAAATTTAAAATTATTAATGAGGTAAAGACAATTATGCGGACGGTTAAGGTGACAAAACTAAGGTGAGAACGATTCATTGGCGACGAAATAGTTGAAATATTTTTATTTCTGAAAGTTTGTGTGTAACAGCTGGTTAACAGTTTAGGGAATCCCCTAAATATATCACTCAGAGCGTTACGTTTTTGACACTACGTTTGCTAACAATACGTCCTGACTCTTACGTTTGCCCAAAAATTGCACATACGCGGTGGTCACACTGTCAGAACGTCGTTTTCGAATATTCCATTTTTACGCACGGGCACGGGAGATCCGAACCGAACAGCAAATATTTCCAAATTATTGCACAAAATTGTAAGTGAACGCGCCGCGCGCCCCTCCGCCCACTTTCGGGGACCTCGCTTTTTCGAAGGGGCCCAGAAATACCGGGAAGTGTCCGTGAATCGCGAAGTTTTCCCAATGAAGCGCTGAAATCGGAACGACCGACAGCAACAACAACGCAACAGAAAAGAAGAACGGAGACAGAAAACAGATAGCAAAATGCTAGAACCGCCGAAATTCATTGAGAATGATTGCTACAACGGCAGCCGGACCTTCACCTGGCTGGCGGATATGGTGGGGCTCTCGGTGGACTTGGTAAGTAATACTATTTACTGCGAAACTCCCTTTGTTCTTTAACGGCCATCCCCTCCCCTTCTTTTCGAAACGGGCGTGTGCACGTGTGCGTGTGTATACGCCTGTCTGTGTGCCAATCTTACGGGATAAAGCCGTACTTAAAATCTCTCCTTTGGAGAATAATGCATTTCTGCAGGAACAGAGTAGGGATTTCCTTTAGCAGGAAGGAAATATGTTAGGAAAAACAAACCACACTTACCTGACAACGGTTAGGTAAATAAATTCCATTGCCGGTTGCCCAAACAAAGATTTCGTGAACAGTAAACTATCTGTAAAGTGAACCAACTTTTATAGAAACTACGCATCTTTAGAGAGAATAACAATACAATCCAAGCTCATGCATTGATTAAAACAGTAATTTGATTGGCAATACTAAATTTCAAATATGGGTTTCGAAAAATAAAATATTAAAACAAGTATAATATTGTATTTTCAAGAAACCTCTTAATTCTACTTGTATTATTTTTAATCGTTACATTTTGTCAAACATTTTAGCGAGCGTGCACCGTACTTTTTAAACGTTACATATTTACGTTCGCCACATTTGGCAGCTAATCGCATTTGGCATGTGCCTTGAATTTTAGCCACTTTATAGTTGTTGTTTATTTTCTAATTTAATTTGGACAACTTGAATTATGTGAAGAGCTTATCAGTTGGCAAGAATTATCTGTGGAATTTTCCATGCCCCACGCTGTCCGCTGTCTAGCGTAAAATTTTGAAATTACTATTGTTGTGACTGACGCACCGTTGATTTCGCTAAATTTAAAATGCTTTGCATCACTTAATAGTGGGGAGGGGTGAAGGGGGTGGCGTGGTGATTAATCTCTTCACTGAGAGTGTCACTTATTACCTCTCTCTCGTAACCCCGCTTTTTTTTTACCATTACCGTTACCCGCCATTTTACCCCATTCGTTTGCTGCAATGTAATATGCATAAGTGCAGCTGGCATATAGAAAAGTGATTCATACGGAGGCACTTTCTGGCCCAAATCAAGTGACATACACGTACGTAATCGTCATATTTTTCAATTCCGATGACCTAATGCCAACATCCGATGTAAGGAAAACACGCGCACACTGACAGAAAACCATTGATAATTCTCCTAACTGTCAATTGTCTTTATCAAGAGCTGCTCGAAATCCAATTTGACTGACTTGGCTGTAGTTACATACACACATGTATGTATGTATATCCCTGATTCCCGCTCTCCATACAAAATAATTGACTTTTTTGCGCTTCTTTTGTTTGCAAACAAATATCAACAGCTTGCCTGTGTATTGGTTAGCGGGTTTCTTGTGGTTTTGACTCAGCTGATGTAGACCGCATGAGTCAGTCGGACATAAAAGCAAAAAAAACAGTGAGTGCTCTATCAGTGAATCAAAAATTGAAAGGGTTTTATCATATGCAATGTAAATGGTGTCAAAATATACGCGAACTTGAAATACTTAGAAACCTATTTACATTTCCGGTCTTAGGCTCAAAAAAAAAAATGGGTAGGTCTTAAAAGTTCATTTTAACGAAATACACTGTACTTCGTAATGGGATTTTTCGGGTGGGCGACACTTTTTTGGAAATCGCTGTGTTTGATATTTTATATACGATTTTTTTTCGTTTTATTACGCTAATTTGAAGTGAAGGCCGCAGCACGCAACTGCGCAAATGCCGGTGAATTGGCCCATTGTTCCGTGGAATCGTCCCATATTTAAGGCGTACATATGATCAAATAAAAACACCTCTAAACGAGGTAAAAAACTAGTGACGATCGCACCTTCAACGTACAAAAGTTCTGATATCAACTTTTGTGACGAAAAATGATTTTAGATGCGACTAAATAAGTACGTGACCTAAAATGTATTCATTCGGCCCGCTTTAGCAAATATTTAATATCTACACGAAAGTTTTTTGTTGTAGCGTGCCGAATGAATAAATTTTAGGTAACGTACTTATTTAGTCGCATCTAAAATCATTTTTCGTCACAAAAGTTGATATCAGAACTTTTGTACGTTGAAGGTGCGATCGTCACTAGTTTTTTACCTCGTTTAGAGGTGTTTTTATTTGATATCAGAAGTTTTTGTTTGTTTACTTTTGCTCTCATAGGTGCTAATGTAAACATTTAAATTTAAATTGGTCAATCATAATTTTTAAACAATTGTATTTTAACGAATTAAGTTAAAAAGGCGTTGAAGTATTTCAAAATACCTTTTAAACGAGGTATAGCACATGTCTGTACCTTTAATAGTGTAGAACTTAAAAACTAACGAAATTTAGCCATTTTTAGCTTTTTTCCCGCTAAAGTAGCGGCTTTTTCCAAAAGTCGTAAAACAAAAGATTCCTATATGGAACTCTTAAGTGCAAATTTACTGATTCCATGACCCTAAAATACAGTTCGGATACCCTCCCACAAAATTCAATACTCAGGGAGCGTTAATTGTTCGAGCTGGCAAAAGTGTCTATTTTCGTATAAAAATAACTTTTAAACGTGACTTTTTACAGTAATGTGTTATATACCAAAATTTAAGGAATCTCAAGGGCTATACAGTTTAAAGTTGTAAGAAAAATCGTTAGAGCCGTTTTTGAGAAAATTAAAAAAAGCTAAAAAAAAGTTTAAACAAATTTTCTTTTGTTCATATCTTTTTAACTATTACATTTACACAAATTGCATTTACAAGGCGTCTATAGCATTTAAAAATACCTTTCAAACGAGATGCAGCACAAGTCTGTAGCTTTAGTAGTATAGAAGTTACGGCTTTCCGAATTTTAGCTATTTATAGCTGTTTTCCCGCTAAACTAGCGGGGTTTTCCAAAAGTGGTAGAACAAAAGTTTTTTATATCGATGTGATGAACGTCATATCAAATTTTCAGAACTTAAAAAACATATTTTGGACAAGTGGACAAGTGGACAAGTGGACAAGTGGACAAGTGGACAAGTGGACAAGTGGACAAGTGGACAAGTGGACAAACTGACAAACAGAATTAAAATTTCATTTTGGGAAGAAGAAGAAAATCTTATTTTGGCTATAACTTTTGAACGGAGCGTCGGATTTCGACAAATGACCCCTCATTCGACGGGTATTTTCAAAAGGAATACAACTAAAACATTGCGAGGGGGCATTTATCCCCACCGGCCCCAACAGCTCCAAATTTCGAAATTTTCACTTTTTCACTTTCACCGCTCTCTCCCCCAAGCCAATTGATTTTCTTAAAGTCTTGGTATGCAATCCTTTAAGTTTTTGCAATACCTTTCGATTGGTGTATTACTCATTACGATCGGACTATCACAGCAGATTTTCAATTTTGCGGCTATATAATAGTAGTCGCCTTCGCACACTCTCCTGGTGCGCTTCGTCACTACATGGACTGCCGTCCATAGTGATTATAGTACTTAAAAAGTGAAAAAAGTTCTCAATAACATCGCGAGAGGCGTTAATGGCCCAAGACGCAGTCCCGGCCGGTCAGTTGCGGTTTATTCTCAACAGTTTGAGCTTTTCTCTCGCAATCTTGATTTTTCCTCCCACGCCGCCACTTTCCTAATACACTTGGGGTCAGAAATATAGTAACTATAAAGCTACGGCCGGACGATCGAATTATTTTAACAAAAGAGTAAAGTGTTACGATGAGTTTTATATAGAAAATAATACTGTTTCTTAAATGTTATATTTTTTCCACAAAAACTCACAACCAAAAAAAAATTTTGAAACATTTCTTCAACTATTAAAACAAAATTAAATTATGTCACAAAAAAATAAATCAAATTGTAAAATATTTACACAACAACATACATATCAGTTTATAATTTGGTTGTATACCGTTTTTAATATGTTCTACTTAGCTGTATACGATTTCTATAGAAGTATTCCCACCGCTGTTGTACTATGTGGAACGATAATTTTATTAATAAACATCAATAAACAACTCATCGCTGTGGTGCTTGTTTTACTGGTGTGTACATATATTTAATGGTAATATGTACGTACATACATCCCAAGTTTTGCGTTGCCTTGGAAGTTTTTAACCGGTTCCGAACTAAAAACGGGAAAAGGCAAGTAAAGATGGTGTATTATGGCAAATAACAATTGAAATTGTAGTGCATGCCAAGCCAATAAAAATGGATTAATATACAGGGAGATAAGGGGATAGGCAAGCCAATTGTTGCGCCCCCTACTTTTCCCGCCGCCCCATTTGCATTATATGATATTATTATTATTATTTCTGTGACCTTGAGTTTGGGGTGCCGCAGTTGTTTGAACTCGTTGCTTTTGCTTTGCTCGTCTGTTTTGCGGTCTTCGTTATGTTTTCTGCTTTTGACAGCTGTTTGGCGCCTCTAACGGTTGTGGGCATACCCTTCACATTTTCTTGGACGGGTATATTGGGTGCACAATAAGTATCAAATGATTTATGATGCAGTAATCATCTGGAATTAATTACTTTCATTTTTGTTCGTTTGTTTTGTTTGGCTGCTTCTCAAACGATTTCCATATCTCTGCATTCTTAACTGATTTCGCAATTCCCCTTTGTTTTGACTTTTGCTTTTATCGTGCGTTCGCTTGTTTCTTGGGTATATCTGTTGGCGGTTCTTTTATTGTTTTATTTATAGTGATCACGCCACTTTTTTCGACTCGCGCGATTCCCCCTTTTTGGCCGCTTGCTTGCCCCTTTTCGCTAGCCTATTTACAATTTTTGGCAATGCAATGCGGCGTGTTAATCAATTGATTTATGATTTGTTTGTCATACGCAATGCACCTTTGTTCCTTCGTATGTTTTTTGGAAATTTCTGATTGAAGCAGTCCACATCCCAGTTAGCTCAAAGAAGCTGGGTTGACAAAAATGAAATTTTTTAAATTTGAATAGCGGAATCGTTTGCCCATCTTTTGCCCATGTTTGCCCACCAATTAGTTTTTTTTGCCCACGTCCAGTTTTCGAGATATAAAATTTCGAAAATTTTCGAAAATTTTCGAAAGTCACAAATTTTTGGAATTCGATTTTTTTTTTTTTAATCGTAAGAGAATCGTTTGCCCACGTTTGCCCACCTTTTAGAATTTTGAAAAAATTTATACTTCAAAAGTTATCTTAATTATAAGTTTTTCCTTAAGAAAAAATCGTTTGCCCACCCTTTAAAACTGAATCTTTTTGGAAAAAAACGTTTGCCCACCTCTTAAAACTAAAAAATATTTACTGCCCACCCTTTAAAAATACATTTTTATAAAAATTATCGTTTGCCCACCTCTTAAAACTAAAAAATATTCACTGCCCACCCCTTAAAACTAAATATTAATGAAAATAATCGTTTGCCCACCCCTTAAAACTAAAAAATATTCACTGCCCACCCCTTAAAAATACATTTTTATAAAAACAAACGTTTGCCCACCTCTTAAAACTAAAAAATATTCACTGCCCACCCCTTAAAAATACATTTTTATAAAAACAAACGTTTGCCCACCTCTTAAAACTAAAAAATATTCACTGCCCACCCCTTAAAAATACATTTTTATAAAAACAAACGTTTGCCCACCTCTTAAAACTAAAAAATATTCACTGCCCACCCCTTAAAACTAATTTTATATAAAAACCATCGTTTGCCCACCTCTTAAAACTAAAAAATATTCACTGCCCACCCCTTAAAAATACATTTTTATAAAAACAAACGTTTGCCCACCTCTTAAAACTAAAAAATATTCACTGCCCACCCCTTAAAACTAATTTTATATAAAAATCATCGTTTGCCCACCTCTTAAAACTAAAAAATATTCACTGCCCACCCTTTAAAAATACATTTTTATAAAAATAAACGTTTGCCCACCTCTTAAAACTTAATTTAAAAATGTTTTTAAACCGATTACCTACTTTCTAAATATAGTACGTGGGGTATGTGGGTCAAAGGTGTTATGCAAAACAAAAACAGGTAATTCAGACATCTAACTTTTGTACTAAGATGTTTAGCAGGTAGTACTAAAAATATTTCTAGCTATGAATGGTTCGTTCGATTCTAGGGTTTGAATATGTTAGTACCTGTGCGAAAGGGTGCATATTAGGGTTTTTAACCTAGCAGGTATTTTCCGCAACCTGCGCCAATTTTAAACCTGAAACACTTGTCTCAATTTCAAAATTAAATACAATTTTTTTGTGATTTTCACAAGACCTTGTTTTATTTGAAACACTAATTTTAAGCAATTTTTAATTGTAAACCAAATGTATTCTTAAGGGGTGGGCAGTGAATATTTTTTAGTTTTAAGAGGTGGGCAAACGTTTGTTTTTATAAAAATGTATTTTTAAGGGGTGGGCAGTGAATATTTTTTAGTTTTAAGAGGTGGGCAAACGTTTGTTTTTATAAAAATGTATTTTTAAGGGGTGGGCAGTGAATATTTTTTAGTTTTAAGGGGTGGGCAAACGATTATTTTCATTAATATTTAGTTTTAAGGGGTGGGCAGTGAATATTTTTTAGTTTTAAGAGGTGGGCAAACGATAATTTTTATAAAAATGTATTTTTAAAGGGTGGGCAGTCAATATTTTTTAGTTTTAAGAGGTGGGCAAACGTTTTTTTCCAAAAATATTCAGTTTTAAAGGGTGGGCAAACGATTTTTTCTTAAGGAAAAACTTATAATTAAGATAACTTTTGAAGTATAAATTTTTTCAAAATTCTAAAAGGTGGGCAAACGTGGGCAAACGATTCTCTTACGATTAAAAAAAAAAAAATCGAATTCCAAAAATTTGTGACTTTCGAAAATTTTCGAAATTTTATATCTCGAAAACTGGACGTGGGCAAAAAAAACTAATTGGTGGGCAAACATGGGCAAACGATTCCGCTATTCAAATTTAAAAAATTTCATTTTTGTCAACCCAGCTTCTTTGAGCTATCCCAGTTGATTGATTAGACTCATCGATATTGTAAATATGTACATTACGTGTTGTACATATATCGATTATGCAACCATTCGATGTATTTTAATAACTATGTATTTATATGTATTGTATACAAGTTTGTAACTAGTAAATTAAATCCTTTAATGTAAAATCTACCTAAATGAACCTAAAGTATTAAAAAAGGTATTTTGTCAAAAAAGGGTTAACTTTAGATCAGCAGCGTCATATCAAGCGATCATAGCGAATTGTTCTTCCCATCCTCTGCCTCTCACGTATACTGTAGAGCAGCGGTCTGCACACACACTCTCGTGCAATTTACTCACACAAATATTAAACAAATGGTCATTGTCATTGCTTTAGATATTAAATGTTAAAATGCCTTACATGTATGATTTTGTTGAAAAATGTCTTTAGAAAAATATTTAAATATGCATATAGTGGAATAGGTTTGTAAATATGTCCTTCAAGTCTAAAAGGTATTTTACAAATTCAACGGCTTTAATGAGACAATCTCCTGGGTGAAGAGGGGGCTAAGTCAAGGAACTTATACCCATCTTCGTCGCTAAGGAATACTAGTGAACAATGGCAGATGAGTACCCACAAATTGCTGGCGCTGCAACCATATTGCATTGTTACTGGCCGGAACCATGGCAACATCTTATCTTGACGTGCAAGCAGCTATCTCCTCATAGCAGCGCAAACAATGCGCCTGAACGGGAGATGAAGGGCTGGGTCCACATATTTGACTTTAAACTGTTTGCCCTTTCAATAGACAATATTTGCCGCGCAGTGAGCATTGCAGGATGTTCAAAGGGAAGCACTTTGAAATTAAAATTCTCATTGTGGCTTAAAACTGCGTGCCCTGAAATTCGATTGGTCGCCAGGCTGTGCACCTGAATTTCGATTGAATTGTTTTACCTCGGACGCAGAGACCTACCTGAGTATTGTATTCGAGGCCTCAACAGAAACCCTCAATGTCTACAATTACGAGTTGAACTTGGGCAACCAAGACCCCCTTGTCATTATCCAATCTGAAACAAAAGATGACTTCCCTCCATAAGCTTTCTTGCACTGTAAGAAAAATAGGGAATGAAATTATTAAACCCTTTTATATCTATTTCTATTTTGTATTATCATATTACCATAATCTTACCCAATACACAAAATGCGACGAACTGCAGGCTTTCCTTGCCAACAAGTTGCCTCCCACTTGTTGCCCTTGTTTTGTTAGATTCCCAGCTCTGCCTGAAACATAATTCTTGAGCAAGATTTTCCTTTCGTTTGGTCCGCTCTGCGTTTGTGTTTTTGCCATTAAGCTTTGGTTGAGGCAACAAAGAACCGGTTTTGGCCAGCAGCAATGGGAACCCACTTATTGCGCATGAGGTATTCGAATGATGATTACAACATGCGTCCGAATGGGAAAACTGCTGTTTCGATGGCTATTCTTCTTACCAGCCTGATCAGTTAGATAGCCCAAGTCTTTAATCTTAAGTTTGTGGTTACAGCCTTGTTATTGACGGACTTTATTCTTCTGTTCGACTTATCACTGGCTATCGGAAATCATTTCAGGGTCGCCTTTGTGTTTAACCTATGGCGTGAGGGTGGCTTGGGAGACGTGGCCCCTTTGTGGGCGCAATTTACCGATATACAAAGGCAGATAATGTACGAGTATATCTATATGCGAATACGTGTTATCGGTGAACGGCTGAAGTGTGCCTGCCTGTTCATTATGAACTTCGACAACGGAACTTCCGAGATGCTACAAATGTGTAGATTGTTGAAGAAAGAGAAATTAAAATACAGTGCGTTACAATGTCAATCATTGGTTGTACTGAAGTTCTTAAGTAAAGAAAATGTCAGGATTAAACCAACCTTTGCCCCATGTAATCTGTGTTTAAAAGTCGAGGAAAAATGGCAAGGTTACATAAAGCTATTATACAAGAGGAATGTTTTTTGGACCACGGTTAGATGATAAGAATGTATGATGTAACTAGAATATAACGTTTTTAGACTGCACTTTGCAAATTGGACAGAAGTTATCAGGAACATGTGTTACATGTAACCCGGTAGCCTAAACATTTTACACACTTTTCGGCACGGCTATAAAAAGAAGATGCAGCCTTGTCAGTTGTCAGAGCACCGAAGCGAAAGCGGTAAAGTAACCAACTGCAGTTAGTTATCCTTTTGCGCCGCCTGAAAATTTCGATGAATCTGTGTAAGTGTCCCGTTGATTAGTGTTTAGGGACTCCCTCGCTAACACGTCCCCTTGCAGCAAGCCTTTTCCTTCTAGCCCTCGTGGCATCCGTTGCTATCTCTGCCGGATCTGCCCGCAGAATACACAGGCCAAAACCAGAACCCCCAAAGGAGCCCTGCCAGGTCACCACCACCAGGCCTCCCTGCAAACGGACCACCCCTCCGCCATGTGAGAAAACCACTCCAAGTGCGGAGGACACCACGACAACCACCACCGGGGCACCAACGACAACCACTGATGCTCCAACAACAACAACAACTGAGGAGCCAACAACAACAACAAAGTGTTCCCCAACGACAACAACAACTGAAGAGCCAACAACAACCACTGAGGCTCCAACAACAACAACTGAGGAGCCAACAACAACCACTGAGGCTTCAACGACAACAACAACCGAGGTTCCAACAACTACTGAGGCTCCAACCACAACTGAGGAGCCAACAACAACCACTGAGGCACCAACAACAACAACCGAGGCTCCAACAACAACTACTGAGGCTACAACCACAACTACTGAGGCTCCAACCACAACTGAGGAGCCAACAACAACCACTGAGGCTCCAACAACAACCACTGAGGCTCCAACAACAACTGAGGAGCCAACAACAACCACTGAGGCTCCAACAACAACAACGACCACTGAAGCAACAACCGCTGAGATAACGACATCTTCTCAAGAGCCGCCCTGTGGGCCTAACGAGCCCCCCAGTGAGCCCTCAAGCACAGCTCCACCTCCCTCTGAGCCCTCAAGCACAGCTCCACCTCCCTCTGAGCCCTCAAGCACAGCTCCACCTCCATCTGAGCCCTCGTCCACAGCCCCACCACCGCCTTCAACCCCTGCCCCGCCTCCATGTGGGCCCAACGAGCCTCCCAGTGACGGCTCAAGTACAGCTCCACCTCCCTCTGAGCCCTCAAGCACAGCTCCACCTCCCTCTGAGCCCTCAAGCACAGCTCCACCTCCATCTGAGCCCTCGTCCACAGCCCCACCACCGCCTTCAACCCCTGCCCCGCCTCCATGTGGGCCCAACGAGCCTCCCAGTGACGGCTCAAGTACAGCTCCACCTCCCTCTGAGCCCTCAAGCACAGCTCCACCTCCCTCTGAGCCCTCAAGCACAGCTCCACCTCCATCTGAGCCCTCGTCTACAGCCCCACCACCGCCTTCAACCCCTGCCCCGCCTCCATGTGGGCCCAACGAGCCTCCCAGTGACGCCTCAACCACAGCACCACCTCCCTCTGAGTCCTCAACCACAGCTCCACCTCCCTCTGAGCCGTCAACCACAGCTCAACCACCTTGTGAGCCCTTATCTCCAACAACAACCACTGAGGCTCCTACAACAACCACTGAGGCTCCAACAACAACTGAGGAGCCAACAACAACCACTGAGGCTCCAACAACAACCACTGAGGCTCCAACAACAACCACTGAGGCTCCAACAACAACCACTGAGGCTCCAACAACAACTGAGGAGCCAACAACAACAACTGAGGAACCAACAACAACCACCGAGGCTCCAACAACAACTGAGGAGCCAACAACAACCACTGAGGCTCCAACAACAACCACTGAGGCCCCAACAACAACCACTGAGGCTCCAACAACAACCACTGAGGCTCCAACAACAACTGAGGAGCCAACAACAATCACTGAGGCTCCAACAACAACTGAGGAGCCAACAACAACCACTGAGGCTTCAACAACAACCACTGAGGCTCCAACAACAACCACTGAGGCTCCAACAACAACTAAGGAGCCAACAACAACCACTGAGGAGCCAACAACGACCACTGAGGCTACAACGACAACAACAGCTGAGGCTCCCACGACAACGACCACTGAAGCTACAACCCCTGAGCCAACAAAACCTTCTCAAAGGCCGCCCTGTGGTCCCAATGAGCCTTTAACTACGACACCACCTCCGAATGAGAATTCCCCACCACCACCTTGTGAGCCTTCAACTCCGGCACCACCTCCTCCAAAGCCCCAAACTCCTATACCCTGTGAGACTACAACAAGCACCACTACCACCACAAAGACAACCACACAAAGGCCACCCAGTAGGAAAACAACTCCCCCGCCCAAGCGTCCCTGCGATCGCACCACAACTTCTGCACCACCTTGCGAGGAGACAACCACACCGGCCTGTGACACCAAGCGTGATGAGAGTGCTCCCGCTCAGCTGATTCCCAAGCCAATCATGGATATCTTCGCTGGCCCGAGCAGCACAACCAAAGCAACCCTTCCGATCGGAACCAGTGCCATGTGCGTTAGTCGCGCGGATGGAGACATAATCCAGGACCCGAATCATTGCAGGCGGTACTATGAGTGCCGCGGAGGACGACGCCTTTTACGCAAGTGCAGTTCTGGTCTGTGGTACGATTCGGAGGCGGGAGAGTGCCTTCCACGCAGCCAGGTCCTGAACTGCCCGGCTCAGCGTAACTGAGACTCCCTTGTTAGCTTAAGTCAACTGGAATGAGGCCAGAGCTTGCATTGCAACTTATATCCGTAACCAACAGTAACCACCCACTCAATAAACAGCATATAAATCACAACCAAGACCGTGGATACAGTTTTCATTATAACTGATTTACAAGAAAATCCGAAAAAAGTACCTTCGTATCTTATTCTTATACTTAAATTACCCAATGTCCGAATTCAGTCGATTTTGATTGATAATTGGGAAGAAGTTATTTAAACAAAATATTTCTTTAAACGCAGCCGCTTAGAATTTTAATTGGCTTATAATGACAAACAAATTTAGAGTATAATGTATATTTTATTCGTTAGAAAATATTTAACAGGTAGATCTAAAGTTGAATAAAAATAATCAACTTGCAAAAGGTGTAACTGTCATTTAAATTGAAATTCTTAGAGCCGTTTGCTCGCCCGCCTGTTAAATTTAAAGTAGGGTTAAACCTCTGATTTCCCATACGATTTAAAGGTTTTAACCCTAGTTAAAGCTTAAATTGTTGAGCGAGAGGTGATTGTGAGCATTAATCTCGTGGGTTTGAGTACCACAAATAGGTAAACTGCGCAAAAGTATAAACTGTGTTAATATTACACTTGACTGGAAGTCATTGACTCCACACTCGTGGCAATCAAATTGTTAATTAATGAAAGTGATTACATATAGCCGATTAAGTATTTTATTTGTTTTCTGTGATACTGGCAGGCGCCGATTGCAGTTCGTAGATGTGTACGATTAGTCTTGTTTTAATAATAACAAAATTTACTGTGTGCGCCAAACAATTCGGATTTGTGTAGTCATCATATGTGATAAGAGTGATTCGTCGCATCCGCTTTTGGTTGTCCTACTTCATGTTGTCCACGAATAACCCCAGAATAGGTGTGGTCTGATCTCCCTCCAAGACCTTTCCTTATCGCACCTTATCGAGGACAGTTGAAAATGCGCTTCAGGGAATGGAAATAATCAATTTGAAAGCGTCGAGCAATTGATATCAATTAAATGGCACCCACTGGGGAACTGAACGGGTCTAATTTGTGGGTCCCTCATTGCATATTTATTGGCACGGGACTCGTACGAAACAGCAAACGAGCGAAAATACCACCAAAACCCTCGATCTTCAATGACAATAGAAGGCAAAGGCCATATTTTGCAGAGATCCGTTCGGGGCTCCCTAGTTTTTGAATAGGAAAAGAAGCCAAGGCCACTGGGAGGTCAGCAAAAGTGGAGGAGAACGAACATTGATCACAACGCGTGATCGTGATCGCCAATCGCGACGATCAAGTGCAATGGTTTACAGTTTACAAGCACTTGTGGCCGCAATTCTCTGCGGCTGGCTGATGGGTGACTTGGGGGGTAGCCAGTGGGGGATGTTGTTCTCGCATTACAATTGCAAATCTCGCCAGACACGTGCCAGCTGCATGTGCTCTGCTTTGGCGGATGGGTCCAAAGATCTCGTGTTACCTAAAGTATTACAATTTATAGGGGTATTTATTACCTAAATAAATATCCGGCAAGAAAATATTAACAATCTCTGCCTACTTTTGTTAAAAACATTAAAATAATGGATAATTAAGATTTATAAATTCGGGACATCAATGCATGATTCAAAGTCTGTATTTTTTTCTGGCATCAAATTCTTTAATTCCTATTTAGATCAAGAATGTCGTTCTAATCCCACACGAACTCTTCATCTCTACTTCCAGGTAAACTTTTTAATTTGCCAAATATCGGCTCTCTTCCTGGCCTCGCTCTTCCGGTCCGTGCTGCATCCTTCGAAGGTTTCCAGTAAACTGCGCCACACCTTCGCCCTTTCGGTTGGCCTGGCCTTTGGCTACTTTTGCTTTGGCCAGCAGGCAATCCACATCGCCGGACTTCCGGCAATATGCTACATTGTCATCCGCACTCAGGACCCGCGCATCGTCCAAAGGTAATTGAGAACCGGCGATGGCAGAGCTTTTCGCTAATTATTTTCAATTATAGAGCCGTCCTGCTGGTGGCCATGAGTTATCTGCTGTGCGTGCATCTGATGCGGCAGCTATACGACTATGGATCCTATGCCCTGGACATAACCGGGCCTCTAATGATCATCACCCAGAAGGTGACCAGTCTGGCCTTCAGCATTCACGACGGGTTCGTGCGTGGCGATGAGGTGAGTGCAAAAATTGGGAGTCGGAAAATTAAATTATAACAATCAATTTTGGCTGACAGGAACTCACCAAGGCCCAGCAGTACCACGCCATTCGAAAAATGCCCTCGGCTTTGGAGTACTTCTCCTACGTGTGGCACTTCCAGAGCATTCTGGCCGGCCCTCTGGTCTTCTACAAGGATTACATCGAGTTCGTCGAGGGATACAATTTACTGAGCAGTCCATCGGGCAACGTAAGTTAAATTATGTCACTATAAAAATCAAAATATGATACAAAAGAAATGTAAATACGAAAAATTACATAATTTATTTTTCAGTAACTAATAGTTATGGACGCAATCAATCGATATCTTTTAAAAAATTTTAAAATATATCCCACTTGCTCATTAAAATATTTCTATATTAACAATTAAATTTTTTTCCACAGGGAAATCTGGAGAACAACAAGAGGGAAGTTGTGCTGGAACCTTCACCTACCAAAGCGGTGATACGTAAAGTGGTTGGCAGTCTCGTGTGTGCGTTCATATTCATGAAGTTCGTAAAAATATATCCCGTGAAAGATATGAAGGAAGACGACTTCCTAAACAACACCAGCATGATCTACAAGTACTGGTATGCCATGATGGCTACCACCTGCATACGCTTTAAGTATTATCACGCCTGGCTCCTAGCGGATGCCATTTGCAACAACTCAGGCCTAGGTTTCACTGGCTACGATAAGGATGGCAATCCCAAGTGGGACCTGATATCCAATATCAATGTTCTGTCGTTCGAGGTTGGTACATAAAAGCTTGAAATAGAATTAAATACTTCTATCCACTGACTGTTATTTAATATTGTGTTATTCTATTTTGGCAGTTCTCGACGAACATGCGCGATGCCATCAACAACTGGAACTGCGGCACCAACCGCTGGCTGCGAACGCTAGTCTACGAACGGGTTCCCAAGCAGTACGGCACGCTCCTCACCTTCGCCCTCAGCGCCGTCTGGCACGGCTTCTATCCGGGCTACTACCTGACCTTCGCCACCGGCGCCGTCGTCGTGACGGCTGCGCGCACCGGCCGGCGACTCTTCCGCCATCGCTTCCAGAGCACGCAGGTCACGCGAATGTTCTACGACATACTGACCTGCCTGATTACTCGCGTCGTACTGGGCTACGCCACATTCCCATTCGTTCTGCTTGAATTCATGGTGAGTCTGCCTTGCGACTTGGTATATATTGTTGATGATTATGGAAAAGAGTGGAATGTTTAATATTTAATAATATTTTTTTGATCTTATCCAATTCTATACATTGTTTCTGATTCTAAAGAATATAAATTCCAAAATTGCCGCCTTACTTTAAGTTTGGTTTTAAATTTCAAATTGAAAATCGATTGTTTTGTAGTAGATTATCCTTTGGAATACGGGCTGCATTCCTGAGCCTCGAGTTGTCAAGAAGTAATAACTAAACAATTTCCATTAATTACTTGCAGGATTTTTCTTCTATTTTTTTGCATAAACAAAAATCAACTCGCCTTACATTGAATTATATTTTCTCAGCGATCACTTATTAATCGAATTCACGTTTTCGCTTTACAGGGCAGCATCAAATTGTACCTGAGATTTTATTTGTGCCTTCACATCATTTCACTAGTGACCATATTTATTTTACCCAAGTTTATACGCGGCGAACGCCGCCTCCGCACGTCGAATGGCAACGGAAACGTCCAGCCGGCGGGCAGCGGCAATGTCAAGGATGCGGTGACCACCAACGGGGAATCTGCAGCAGCTTTGACCGCTGGCAATGATCTCAACGAGGATAGAGAGGAGGACAAGCACGCTCAACGTAAAGTCAACACAAGCACACATCTGCAGCCAGCTGCTACCCTACAAAACACAACTGAACAACAGCCAACCGAGCAATCAAACAATGTAAACCTTCGTCCACGCCCACAGCAGCTGCAGGCTCATCTGGAGAAAAAGCCGATGTCCAGGTGCGCCCGGGACGCGGTTAGCGTGCCCCATGACCAGTGCGAGATGGACCAACTGTCCAGCAAGCTGAAGGAGAAGATCGAGGCGGAGACCAAGAACATTGAGGAATTTATTGATAAGACTGTAACCGAGACCGTCAGCGGCATTGTGGAGTTCAAGAACGATCTGATGCGGGACATCGAGTTTCCCAAGCTAAAGCTGCCCGGTAGCAACGGCGGCATTTCATTGGACTCCTCCACTGGCGTCGGTCTGCGCAAACGCAACATATCCTCTATCCATGACAACGGCACAGATCCTGGCAATGCTCCCGCTGAGGCCGAGGAGAACGGCGCCGCCTTTCTGAAGAAGGAGATCGAGGTGATCAATGCGGTGGTGCAGCAGGCGGTGCCGGCAGTGCTCAGCAATGGTCATGCAAAATAGTAGCATCGACGAGCAAGTGTGAGGAGACCGAGCAAAACAACGATGACGACGGGGCCACGGCAGGGATTGGAGGCGGCCACGGATCAAAATGGGTGCTGCAAATCTGATTGATTGATTTATAGATACACTAAACTGAGATTTATCCAACACGCACACGATATACGCACACTACACACGCTCACTAACAAAAGAAGACACTTTTTGGTTTGATTTTAAATAGAGAGAGAGAGTTTTTCGTCGATATTCCTGAAGTACACAGATTGTTTACACTAAAGTTAGTGTCTAAGGTGGCGGATTAGCCAAATAATAAATAAGATACACTTGTATATTCGGTATATATTTATCAGCAGTCAAAATCTATGTTCGAATTAACTAAATGTGCACCAAAAGTCTAATTGTTGTTGAAAAGAAATCTATGTATGTTTGTAGATGTTTGTTTGTTAAGATCCCGCAGCCTGAGACTAACAATGTGTTTCAAAAGTAATCCACACACATATCCACAAGAATAATACAATCCGTAATCAATCCGTAAAGCATGCAAGGAACAAGCCGACTGAATGCAATACTATACTTTTAAAAGAATTGTTTTAAAAACACTACAACTACATTTGAAACGCATTGTTGTGACCCAGGCCCTTAAATCGAAAACTAATCCGTATATATGTATGTAATTCTGCATATGTTGAAATATTTACCATATAGTCTATGTGCGAGCAAGTAAACCAATTTTCCAACAACAGTACTATTGTAGTTCAAATCCCGCCCAAAGGAACGATAACAAATCGTCAGAGTAACGTGAACAGTAGAACCAATGATATCCTCTTTAAACAAAAAAACCAATCACGAAAAACAAAAGTCAACCAAATCTTAACTTTAGACTGAAGCTATTAACAAGTACTAAGGAACAACAAAAAGCAAAAAGCCAAGCAAATCGTGCGTAGTTAAAGTTAGTTAGTAAGCCGTCAAGTTGTTTTTGATATTAAATTTAAACCAATTTTTGTACAACTGCGCGAGTGTGTCTGGAAAGGAGTGTCCAGCTTGCTTCCACTATATATAACCTTCCCAGCCCGGCATTTTAGCTGGTCCACCTCTTTTTGTAAATGTTCGTGTCCTCCACTTGTGGCTTCCTACTCCGTAGCTCGTAAGCATGCTCTTTATATAACCTTTTTGTTTTACCCATTACTTTGTTAGTTCCAATAAACAATTTCGCCACAAATCCTCACATATAAGCGATATATTTTTATATTTATTGTAATACGAGAACAGAAACAAAACCACTGTAACCGTAAGCGAAATCTCGGCGCACATTTGTTTCGATTGTCGTAGTTTTCTGCTGAAGAAACTCAGGGGAAAATCTCGACCTGCACCAAGGTGTTATGCAGTCCAGTTGCAACAGATATACAAAACCAATATGAGCATTGATATTCGACAAATAAATCGTATATGTGTAGTTTATGTTGATTATTTTTATTTGAACTGGTGTTCTTCCTTTTATTTCGAGATTATAGGTTACTGGGAGGATTTTTAATGGACAACGTTACAAAGATATAATTCGCAAGATATATGCTACTATTCTTTATTAATATATATTTTTTGTCGTGTGCTAACCCTTAGAACTGCAGAATTCGGTATTTCTTGTAAAACTTGTCATCTCCGCGGGATCGGCTAGGGCACGACATGCCTCCACCTCACTTGAAACCTCTGGTGTTCTTCGTCATCCAGGAATGCTCCGATATGAAAAGCCCCTCATCTTTTAAAAATTCTTTTCTGTGAAGACGGTTTCAGATCAGTAATCAGTAATTCTGTACCCTAAGCTTCACAAACCGCTTCTGGATTTCCCCGAAGTTCAGGGCCACGGTTAGTATGTGGGTGGCCTTTATCTTCTTGCGCCAATATGCGCTTACAATGCGAATTTTATGCAGAGCATCGCAAATTTGTTTGCGTTGTTTGGCCTTGATTATCACTTCGTTAGACTTCTCGTTCCGATGCGAAACCCTGATTTCTGATTGCGTCTCGTAGCACGGGACAAAAAGACACCTTTTTGTAGGATTTTACAAACTTGGGCACAAAAAGAGCACGCCATTTGGGGTACTCTCTATGTTGCTAACAGCCGGATCATTCTTATCATCGCCAGAAATATCTAAAAAGGGGTTTAGCAAAATAAAAAACAATAGGACTATTTTTTTAAGCGTTTGTAAAGATCAAACATTTAAAGAAATGAAATATGAAGTTTAGTAAAACCAGCATTTTCTCCTTTAATACCCATTTGGTCTGGTTATATCAGGAAGCGATCACTTGAAGTCGCATGTATGGATACAAAAGATTCGCCAAAGCCATAAATGAAACATTCCCTAATGCGTTTTAGAGAGATCTGTGTGGCTTACTATCATAAGCACCACAACCACAAATAAGATGACCCACAAGTTTTTACTAAATACCTAAATATTTATAAAAATGGGTCTTTTTTAATGACCCTAAGGTTTCAGCTTATCTTTTTTGCGAGCATTATTGATTGCGAAATCTAAACCATTACACATAATTATTTACGTTTTAAATCTAGAGTTTCGACATTTTTGCAATTTTGTGAAATCAGATCAGAAAATCCTACGATCTACGATGGATTTGGTATAATGTTAAAACCGAAAACTCAGCGAACGTTTGTTGAGATTGCCTTGATTCTAGAAAAAACAGCATGGTAAAACTTTCAGTTCATTAGATTCTTTAAATGAAGCGTACACGTAATTTCATTTCAAAGAAATGTGATATAATCTTTATTTTAAATATTAAACAACTAAAAGTGACCTCGAGTTCGACAAAGTGCTCAATAGTAAACATAGGTCGAATAAATCACTAATACATATTTATTACGGTTAAAAAAATTATTGTTCTTAGAACTCCAGACTGCCGGATATCCTGTAGAACTTATCCTCCCCGCGCGATCCCAATACACATAGATGCACTGCCTTACACTGGGCTGCACCGAAATCGAAGTCTCCAAACCGTTTTAAAATTTCGCGTGCATCAAAGGTCTCTCCTGGCTTCATCGCCTCCTGGCGAAATCGGACGTTCATTATCCTCATGTGCATCTGGATGGTATCGCGGTTGAAACAATCCGAAGCGAACAGTCCGGTTTCTATAAAGTGGGCCAGACACTTATCTGCGAACTTTTTCAGCTCTGGAGACTCGATACGACCGTAAAGATGGCGAGTGGAGCTTGGGTCGTCAAATGTAACCTCCAAGCCCTTGACCTTAAGTTCGAAGGGAGTTTTTAGGTCAGCTAGTAGCGGACGACATGCCTCCAGCTCATTTAAAGCCCTTTGTTGTTCTACGTCATCCAGAAGCACATAAACCCCTAAAGTAAGGTGTAAGCAATTCTCCGATATGAATAGCCCCTCATCAATGCCTGGTAGCTGGGCCTCTAAAATGCTTTTCTGAAAATAGAGGTCGGGATAATTTTTTTTTGCATATTCAATTTATTAATTTTTACCTTGAATTCCACATAACGCTCCTGAACTTCCCCCGAGCTCAGGGTCACGGCCAAAAAGTGGGTGGGCCTCATCTTCTTTCGCACGGACAAAATTATTTGCCGGATTTGATGCAATGCAGCACACACCTGACTGCGTTGTTTGGCCCTGATAACCACGTCATTGGAATTATCTTTCAAACTGGGAATAGCGATCTTGGCTTTGGTCGTTTCCTCGATGCCGCGCTTCGTAGAGCCCTTAAGGCCAATTATTCTACCATAGAATATTCTGAAAGGACATTCTTTAGAAATAAGGACAGTATTTACTAAACTATACCCACTCGGGCACGTAAAAAGCAAGCTTAAAATCGCCATTTGGGCTCTCCTCAATTTTGCTGATAGCCGGATCATTCTCCTCAACGTAATCGCTATAGAGATCTGCAGGAAAATTGGGTTAGTCCAAATAAATATATACCATTAAGCAACTCACCTGCTCTCTGGTAGGCATTATTTTCTCCTTTAAAGCTCATTTTCTTTTGTTAAAAACAGGAAGCGATCACTTCACTTGAATTCACGGGGATATACAAAGTTCAAATGATCTTGCACGGAAAAGTAGTGCCAGTTGGAAAGAATAAAAAAATGCACTAATGCGTTTCAGTAAATATTAAAATAATACCGATGGAATAAGAATTTAGAGAGACTTACTTTCGTGCTCTTTCTATAGGTACCAAAAATTTATATTAAAAGTTCAAAATGTGAGTACAGTTAACATTCAAATCTGTCAAAATAATTATGCCGACTAGTGTAACTTTTAGGGAAGAAATTCAAAATTTTCAAGTCTATAATTGCAAAGTATTATTTTTGTGGCCAGATTTTTGTAACTGAGGAGAGGCAAAAATTCTCCAAAGGCACAATGCCCAAGATTTAATAAGGAAACTTTAAAATATAAAGTTTAAATAGATCTGTTATTTCATATTTGTACATATTTACATATCCTAATGAACACAAATCTATAACAAATTGTTCTTAAAACTGCAGACTGCCGGATATCTTGTAGAACTCGTCTTCTCCGCGGGATTTTAGTACGCACAGATGCACCGCCTGGCACTGTGCAGCTCCGAAGTCAAAGTCTCCAAAGCGCTTCAGGATCTCGCGGGCATCGAAACTGTTCCCAGCCTTCATTGCCTCCTTGCGGTAGCGGTTGTTCATCAGGGTCATGTGGAGTTTGATAGATTCACGCTCGTTGTTATCCGTGGCGCACAGTCCGGTACCCTGGAAGTGGCTCAAGCACTGATCCGCGAACTTCTGGAGCTCCGGAGACTCGACGCGACCGTATAGAATGCGAGTGAAGCTGGGATCGTCGTTCATGATCTCCAGGCCCTTGACCTTCATTTCGAAGGGCGTTTTTAGGTCAGCCAAAAGGGGACGACAGGCTTCCAGCTCCTTGAGCGCCCTTTGGCGTTCATCATCATCCAAGAGCACATAGACACCTAAGGTAAGGTGGATACTGCGCTCCGGCATGAACAACTCCTCATCAATGCCTGGCAACTGAGCCTCTAAGATGCTTTTCTGGAAGGAGAGTTTGTGATGAGTATTTGTTGTACCCGATTTTAGCATATAATTACCTTTAGTTCTACAAAACGCTTCTGGACTTCCCCGGAGTTCATGGCCACGGCCAAAAAGTGGGTGGGCTTCATCTTCTTCCGCAGCGAGGTAATCAGATGGCGGATTTGACGCAGTGCAGCGCACAACTGACTGCGTTGTTTGCCTCTGATGACCACGTCGTTGGACTTCTCGTTCTGACGTGGAACGTAGATCTCTGTCCTGGTCTCCTCCTCGATGCGGCGCTTAGTAGAACCCTTGAGGCCAATTAATCCGCCGTAGAATGATCTGCAAGGAATGGCATGGGTATTAGAGAAAGCCAGCTTTGTGGTGATGCTTTACCCACTTTGGCACATGAAGAGCAAGCTTGAAGTCGCCATTTGGGGACTCCTCAATGTTACTGGCCGCCGGATCATCCTCGTCATCGTCTTCGCCATATAAATCTGGGGAGAGGGGATTTAACCAGGCACGATTAACCACAATATCCACCCACCTGGTTCCTCGTAGGCCTGGTTCTGCCTTTTAGACCCTTTATTTTGGCCATTCCACTTGTCGCCTCCGAAGTCTTCGTGAACAATGTTAACCCTATAGCGCCGGTTTTGGCTCATCGCTTGGACAGGAGGTGATAGAACTTCGCGACTCATTGTGATCAGAGAACTGCGGAATGCTTGTTAATTCACGGGGAAATCCCGAAATGAAAGGAGTTTCTTTGAAAAAACGACAGCCAGCCGGCAGTGGAAAGAAATGCACTAATGCGTTGGCAGGACATATTTAGGCTATACTGCAATAATACCAAATAACAAGAGTTATTAGTGATGGCAATTATAAATTTAAATATTAAAAAAAAAATTAAACGTAAATAAAAACTAATACTAGTTTTTGTAATTTTTTAAAAAAATAAAAGATTTCAACTTTAATTTTTAAATTTTTAAGAAGAGGTAAAAAAATTTCCCTTTAATTCGCACAACCGATAGTATCGTGTCACGCAGCGCTGACTCTGCCACCCCCAACGCACAATGCACCCATCCCTAAACCAGTTCGAGTTTCCCCAATTTGACAGCCAAATTGTGTTAATTTCATCTGGAAAAGCAGAAAATCTGGGAAGTGATAACAAAAATGTCGCAGCGCTAAGGTGAAACCCAGCACCTGTCCGCCCAAAAGGGGAAGCCAGCAGCGGATAGCGCCGAAAAGTTTTCGAACACAGCCTGCGGAGCCTGTGAATCACTAGCAGATAAAGACATTGGATTGGCCCGAGGAGCGCCCGCTGGAGGAGCAGCCACCATAGCAGGCCCATCGATCGCCCCCCATCCGCTCCAGCTCCAGGTGGAGGTGACCCCGACGCCCCGCGACACGCGCGCCCTTGCGGAAGTGGTGGCCCACATAAATAGCATGGGAAACGACGACCATCGACGGCGGAAGACTCCTTGCGGATTTTGCATGGCGGTCTTCAAGTGGATCCCGGTGCTGTTCATCACCGCGGTGATAGCCTGGTCCTACTACGCCTACGTGGTGGAGCTGTGTATCCGTGAGTTGCATATAGAATATGCCATCTAATGGGAGGATGAATCTATCCATTTGTACCTACTCCCTCCACAGGCAACTCGCAGAACACCATTGGCATGATCTTCATGCTGCTCTTCTACCACCTCTTCCTCACCCTGTTCATGTGGTCCTACTGGCGCACCATAATGACCTCCGTGGGCCGAATACCGGATCAGGTGAGTGAATCACCCGCCTTATCGGCAGTTGCTATCGGAAGAAACTGGGAATATCTCACTAATAACTCTGTTTACCTCCTTTCCAGTGGCGGATACCGGACGAGGAAGTGACGCGACTATTCCGGGCCGACAGCCCGGACACCCAGAAACGCATTCTCAACAACTTTGCACGAGACTTGCCAGTCACTAATCGGTGAGAATTTACCATGTCATCCAGTTCAATAGCATTAAAACCTTTTGATTAATTATGAAATTTTGTAATTTTTTATCAAACGTTTGTTTGTACCCATTGTAAACGCAAGCTATTTACTTGTACTATTACGAAATATGTGAAAAAGCTTCTAGGATTTCGAAAAAACTTTATCACACAATCTAGTTATTTTTTAGGCCTAGTAATCACAAGTACTAGTACTAGCCTAGTACTAGCTTCAATCAAGAAGTCAACGAAAATTAAATCTCCATGTCGTTTTTAATTTAATTTTAATTTTATTGTTTTACTATCCTAGCATGATACTTATTTCTTACTGCACTAGTAACTTTGAACATAAAATCTTACATTAATGTCAATTAATTAATCAATATGTGTCTTCAATTTCGATCATGAAGTTTTACACCTGCAAATTATATTAATACAGTTTTGTTTTGTTGCCTTTTATGATTGAAGTCAGATTCTATGCTTAACATATATGATTTAAAGTATAAGTTATAGCTATAGTTATAGTTATAAGTTATAGTAAACCCTTAAACATTCGCTTTCCAGCACAATGAACGGCTCCGTGCGCTTCTGCGAAAAGTGCAAGATCATCAAGCCGGACCGGGCGCACCACTGCAGCGTGTGCAGTTGCTGCGTGCTGAAGATGGACCACCACTGCCCCTGGGTGAACAACTGCGTCAACTTCTACAACTACAAGTACTTCGTGCTGTTCCTGGGCTACGCACTCGTCTACTGCCTGTATGTGGCCTTCACCTCGCTGCACGACTTTGTCGACTTCTGGAAGGTAGGTGCCGTAAGTTTCAGACTTTTTTACACTCCTATTACCACCCTACTTGCCCGCTGCATGCGAAGACCTGTTGGTTAATGAATGTATTCTCTCGTTTCGCTGTAATGTTCTCTAAACTACTTGTACTTACTGATCCAAGTACGATAATAATGGTTACTCGGCACAGGGACAACTGAACGCCAGCGGAATGGGACGCTTCCACATCTTGTTCCTGTTCTTTATTGCCATCATGTTTGCCATTAGTTTGGTGAGTTTGTTTGGCTACCACATTTACCTGGTGCTCATGAATCGCACGACACTCGGTGAGTACTTGAGGTCTGACACACCAATTACTGGCCGACTGTAGCCGTCTCTGTTTATCTTCCACTTAGAGTCATTTAGGGCGCCCATCTTCAGAGTGGGCGGCCCGGATAAGAACGGCTACAACTTGGGTCGCTATGCCAACTTCTGCGAGGTCTTCGGCGACGACTGGCAGTACTGGCTCCTGCCCGTCTTCTCCAGGTATGTCTCGGTCCTCCTACCACACCATCTTGATCTTTGGCATTCTCACATCCCCATTCTTACTAATCCGTGCTGCACTTGAAGCTCTCTCACTCCTTAGTTGTTGTATTTGTGCGCTTTTGTTTTATTTGATTTTTTATACTTTACGATTGTGGTTTTTATGTTGAATTTGGCAAATTAAAGGCATGCTTCGTAGTTAAAACCTGTTACAATTCTCGATGTGTGTTCTGTGTGCTAAGTTAAAGAAAAACGAAGAAACCGTTGAAAATCACTAATTTTAGATAATTTAAAAGCCATTTTTAACCCTTATAATTTATGTAAGCCGAAAAATAACTGTGTATGCCCAAAAACTGAGAACGGAAAGCAATGAAACTATGTTGTCGTTCTTCATTTTGTAATTTAGCTCTAAGCCTAATCAAAATTACCACTTCATTTCACTTGCGTTTGTTGTTTCTGTTTGTAAATAAAATGAGAAGCCCCATGCCAGTGAGCTTTAGATATAGAAACCTAGATCTAACTAAAACCAGATAACTTTGCAATTGTTTGCGGGATTAAGTGACTAATTTTAAATGCCAAAGTTCTGCCAGAACCCGGGGAACTCCATAAGCTTACTAAAAACACTTGCCACACACGATCAGTCGATCCAAATCAATTTCAACATTCGTGTCCACACATTTGTGCAAAATTATATAACAAACAAACTGCAATCAATACCAACAACAGCTACAACTACAACAAGCTAAACTGTAAAAAACAACAATCAACTCGAAAACCTAACAAACAAACGATACCTATGTTTAAAACTCTCTGTTTAACGCAAAACCCCACCCTTCTGCTTATTCACAATCACGGAACTAGTCGCGGTGATGGCTACAGCTATCCGACCTCCAGTGACCAGAGCCGAGTGTCCAGCACCTCGCCCGTCCAGCGGTACGATGCCATGGGGGATACGGCCACCAGCAGGTTAGATGGCAATCCAACAGATAAGTTGATTGGCGCTAGTCCCCTCGACTCCACTAACCATCACCACCACCAATCGCCTCATCAAGTAAGAAGCACCAGCGCCCCGCCCACGCAGCAGTTGCAGTTGCAGGTGCAGCCACCATCGCAATTCCGGGACGAGCTGGACGAGCGGCCGGAGCACCTGGCAAACGGCCAGTCCTTAAACTCCAGCACGGCAGCAGTCAGGTCTAGTCAGGCGGCGGAGGGAGGAGGAGCGAATGGGGCAGCCGTGTACATCGATATGATCGGGGATCATCCGCTAGCAGCCGCTGGCGCCGATCCTGCCAAGGAATCCCCACGCCCGCCGAACGGCGATCTGCCAGTTTGAATTTCCCCCTTTACCATGTTTCTGTAGAATGTATTTGTGTTTGTACTATACCCTATAGCCTATATAGCCGAGTAAACTGCCAGATCTGTCAGCTTTGCAGTTTGTAGTAAGCCAATAAGTTACCTCTATGGTTTAGGATAGGCTATTTAAATGTTTAAATGGCTGGGACCACAATATAGTTCGTCGGGTATTTATATCCAATCATAGCCACATTCGACTAAGTTAACATTAAGCATTTATCGCCGTTATAATCGATCGAATTTTGTAATGGAAATTAGAAGATTTGTACCTTGCTAACACATTCATGGAACCAATCATCCTTGTAGATATGATATCAACCGATCTTCAAGACTTAAACCTAATGATAAGCAACGAGATTTCATCACACACTATTATCACACACGAAATTCAGGCATTTCTCTATGCTTTTAATTTATGTAGTTAGTTAGTTACTGTTTGCAAGTTGATTTTTATACTTTTGATTCTTTTGTACACCAATTATACCTAAATACATATTCTATTGAATGTCTACGAATGACGAACTTAAGATGGATTCTAAAATATATTTATGACAGCAACAAAGGTTCGTTTTTAATTTGCCAAAGAAAATCCAACAGATTTGCTTCCGTTGCCCAGCACCGAATCATCAATCAATCTCTCGAATATAAAATAGCGCCCTCATAACTAATCACTTTCCTATTATTATCTAAGATAAGTTGTACATCGCATAATGATCAAATATAACGCACCACACACCCTTTAGCTTCGGCGATGGCAAAACATTCCCCATCCGACATGTGGAGGAGGACACCGAATCCTTACTCGGATATCACAGCGACACGCGCATCGAGCTGGAGGAGGACTTTCTGCCGGAGCCGCGGTTCCAGGACTCGATTCCGTAGCTAATCATGACCAGCGACAATGTGGCGACATATTACATTTAGAGATTCAGATGCGGGGGCTTTAGACTCTCTTTTCGACTTTCATTTCCAGTGTGTAAATAACAGAAAGACAGTCCATCCTATAGGGACAACTAGGTCAATATTTTTAAGTTATCAAGGATGGACATTGTAAATTAGCAGAGATGCTGGGAGATCGGAATCTAAATTCTTGCTTTGACATTCGCGTTGGACATTTTAAAACGTATTAATTTAGTGTGTAAGTGCAAAGCTATTAGAAGTTTCGAACAAAAGTTGATGTCTATATCGGAATACAGCTAGTTATGCAGCAACAAAGTACGGAATATAGGTTAAATATAGTTAAACGCATAGTGGGAAAACAATAAAATCAAAAACGAAACTTTAAGCAACACATATGGATCTGTATATTTACAAAAATAAAATTCCAACTATTCCATTCAATCGAACCGACTCAAGTCCTCATTGCCACTCGATTGCCTTGTCCCCGAAACAGTTGTGGAGGAAACTACTTCGAAATCGTCATCAGCGTGGATGGTTTTCTCTGAGCTCTGGGAGGGATCGCCGAACGGATTGGCTGTCAGTCGAGCCACTTTGGGCAAGGGTTTCGGCGGAGTAGGTTCCTCAGCGACTGGTGCTTCTGGAGTGTCTTCCACCTGCTTCCGTTTCTTCTGCTTTTTGCTAACCAATACATCTCGGCGCACAGAAATGCCAGTATCCTCGCTTTGAGGCAACAGGTCGCTCAGATCGGTCTCCACATCAGCCACCTCCGGTTTCAGTTTGTCCTGCAGAGCTGCCAGCGCAATCAGCAAGGCTTCCTCCGTTCGAATCGTTCGAGATCCCTGGCGGGGCAAGACATTCACGTAGTGATCGAACAGCACCTCCGGGTCGTCCACCGTCAGCTTCTCGTCGTTGGCCAGCGCAGATTCCAGGCCCTGCAGTCCTCCGAATACGATGAGCATGTGCTTGAAGCCATATGACTGGCTGGGCACCTCGTGCACGTTGGTGCCGCGATCCGAGGTGCCCAGCGTGACATCGTAGCCGGAATCGTAGGGTGACTTTGTGAAGATCTCCGACAGCGAGTGGGCGATGCGCACCTGGTAGCCCCAATAGACGCCCGTCTCCCGACGCGGCTCATCCGGACTGACCAGGGTGCCGCGCTGCTTTCTGCTGGTCTCTGGAGGGGAGAACAATCGATTAGTTCTGGAGCTAAAAGACTGGAGTAAAGCCTACCATTTGGAGGCTCCATTTTCACCGTCACCCGGACGCCGGGCTCAATGGCCTTGTCCACCAGAACGTCGTTGAGCAGCCCCACATTCGCGTAGCTGTGCCCCTCCTTGGCCTTCTTGTCGCAGATGACGCCCTCGCGGTACCGGAACTTGCTCTGCTGCCGGAGGTGGTGCGGCGTGTCCAGCGGATTGAGCAGTCCCGAGTACTTGAGGTCCTTGTGCAGCGGGAAGAAGTACTTGCGCAGATACTGCGGGCACTCCAGGTACTGCAGGATGCGGGCCAGTTGCAGGGAGCTGCTGCGCACGGTGCCCGTGCCAGTGCCCTCCGCATCCGGCTCGTAGCTGCGCTTGGTTTCGCGGGCGGTGGCTATGCCCACGTCGTCGAAGACGATCACCTCGTTCACGCGGAAGATGCAGGCGGCCCGGGCTATTTGCCCGGCCACATAGGCCCGCAACTCGGCGGATTGGGCATTCTCTAGGATGGAGCCGGGCACAGCTATGCTCAGGGTGGATGGATTGGGCCGGTCCTTCGTCTGGGCGACCTGTGCCGCCTGGGATTCGGCGTCTTTGGCCTGCTGCAGCTCCCTGAGCAGCTTGTCCTGCTTGCGCTGTCGCTTCAGCGCCTTCCGCTCCTCGTTCACCTTCTTCCAGGACTTGTGCGGCTCCGTGGGCTTGCTGGCTGCGGGTGTGGCGGGCATGGTTTTGATTCGCAATCTATTAATTCGTTTAAATAGCTGAAAACAAACGAACGCACGTGCACAATAACAATGTTTAAATGTGACCATAGCGGAGTTGGTATTTATCGTTGAACGGTAACGCCACCTAGCGGGCCGAATTCAAACTCGACCTTTGTCGCCACCTGCAAAACTGACGTCACCATTGCCCCGTATTTGGTATTTTTTCACCCACACAAGAGAGTTCCCCCGAGAGAGAACTTTCGCCGAGAGCAAGCTTTTGCGGGAGCACAAAGTCTATTTAAGCAACCCGCAACCCAAAACTTTTTGTAATTTTTGCCTGACACGACACGGAATCGGAATACAGAGGTTGCGAAATATTTCACCGTTCGCACTTGTTTACGTTTGCCATTAAAAATTTTCAAAAAAAAGTCCACCAACTAACTGTGGTTAAATCGCCGGTGGGAAAGATAACAAACGTGTGCCGTGTGCGTCGGTGGATCGGTGAATTATGTGCGTTTGAAAATTGAAAAAGTAATTGCAGCGAAGAGAAAAGCCCCAAAAACCGAAAAGCGTGCTCGCCAATTAACTCCAGCTTCGCCCCGCCCCCCGCCTCCACCGCCTCACCTGCTCTCTCTACGCCTCTCTTCAATTGTGCAAGTGTATGTAAAAATATGAGAGAAGAGAGCAAAAAAAAACACACTACGTGCGCGTAATAAAAAACGAGGTGGGTGGTAGGCGGGGGGTGGTGTAGGTGGCCTACCGCCCCAGCCCCCTCCCCCCGAAAAACAATATACATACATACAGAAATCTACCTATCCGTTGCTGTTGTTGTTGTTACTTGAAGGTTTTTTTCGGTGGGGGACAATCAATAAACACGAGAGCTGCGTGTGAAAAAGAGAGACAGAGAGAGCGTGGAGTGCTGGTGGAGAAAGGGGATCTCGAGAGAGAGCGGGAAAGGAGATTTCAGAGAGAAAGGGGCTTGCGCATATGATTCAAATGCCGGTTTTGAGCGCACTTTTTTCCAGTCTCAATTGTTAAACAAGTGCAGCGATCACTTAACTAATTACCTGTCCTAATCAGCAGTCGTTTAATTAACAAGATCATATCTATCGTACCAAAATGAGAGTAATTGGCGACAAACTTTTCAAAAAGTAGAAATGCAACTGCAACTTGCGCTATCGACTCCTATCGATAATCGGTAATTGGGTCAGGGGCGACTGCTTTGCAAGATGCCAATCAGAATTTGCCCGTATATTATTACAAGGCAAAAAAAGACAGTGTAGGAGTTGCAAACAGCAAAAAAATCAAAATCAACCAAAAATACAGCATACAAATGTACAATGTGCATATGTATTATATTATACCTCAACGATTTAAGGTGGCAGCAAAAGTATACACAAACAACAATGTTTATTTGGGCCAAATAAATTGAACAATTACATGGGCGAGAAGCCAAGAAACCAGTTTCCTTTTAAAAGTTTAAACAAAGTGAAACATAAATCAATGATAAGCATGCGCTGTGCAGAAAGCCAATAATGTGTTTAGTTGGTTTTTTCAGGATGCAACATGAATTCGGGAATAAATTATTTAAATTTTAAAACCCTAAAATTAAATTTTGGAGCCCCACTGTAGCAGTTCAAAAATAAACAACTATTGCACTTAAGTACACAGAGAAAATTTTCCACAAAAACAAAAATGTTTTTTCAAGCGAAAAGTAAATTCGAGCGGCTAATTAGTAAATCTGTTACATAGCCAAAAAACACAAAACAATATTATTTCGACTTTAAACAAAACCTTCACAGATAGTCATATGTAAATCCTTGATAAACATGACTTTTGCAATATTTTTTATTTTCGGCTGAACTTTAATGGGAGCTAAAAAGTTGGAGTATTATAGTTGGAAAACCAATTTGAGTTCGACAAGATAAATATAGAAAAAAGAATTAGTTAATTTAAGAGAAAACTGAAGCAACTAGCTGGTAGAAAAGCTCGTTTTTACTTAAAGTTGAAACAAAACCGCAAAATAATAAAGTTGGTTAACATGCGCTGTGAACCATTCCAATTAGCGTAATTGCAGTAGTTCATCTTATTGGCTTTTCAAATGTGTATAGCATGAAAAATCAAAATTGTTAAAATCTCGGTAAATACGCTTTATCAATCAAAATGTAATAACAGATTTTTCGTAAAAACTTCAAAGTCCTCGCTTAAAGAAACAACAACAATAGTAAGAAAAACCCACCAACAGCCAAAAATAAAAGTAAAAAAATAAGAAAAATCAACGAAAGTAACAAATTACATTTGGTTTTAGCCATAAAGAGCGAAAGCGAAGCAAAGGAAAAGGCCGAGAAGAAATAATAAAGGAGAAAGGGGAGTAGCAGGTGAAACAGGTGGACGCAGGAGATTCACCACCCAAAAAAAAAACATCATCGCCAGCAGGTGACAGCCGAAAGCAGAAAGTCAGGTGAGTCTCGCTTCGTGTTCAAATCCATTCCATTTCCACGGTTTTATTCCGATTCTGCTGCCATTTCTGTTTGCCTCCCCGTGCGATTAAATATTTCACGCGCTTATCAATTGCTCAAGGGTTGGCATTGCTTGATAAACAAACACAACTAAAAAGCAAACAGAAATTAAATAAGCCAGCCAAGTCGCCTACTTAAGCAGGTGGGAGAACTCGGTTGGGTGGTATTGGTGAGGGTATAGGTGCGATGGGGGATCGGAGTGTTCAGGAATCCAAAGAGATATTCAGAAATATACGCAATAATATACCTATTGATAGCTGGACTGCCTTATTGGACTGCAAATCTTTAGAAAAGTATAATAGAAACGACTGTTATAGGAAAACAGTGCAGTACATCAAAACACACCAGAACTTGAGGAAATTCAGTAATATGATTGTGGACTTACAGAAAGTAATTCATACAAGTAGAGCAGGTAAATATTATTTTCAGGCATTTTTTATGACTGTGCTCAGGTATCCGAACTTGTACTGGTAAATTATTTAAATTGTTTTGGGAGTTTTTTATTATGCAATAAATAACTGACTGCAAATATTAGAAAAGGGTTTTCAACGTTTATAAAATTTATAATTGGTATAGTAAAAACTGGGTGGGAACCTATATTGTTATGTTTTCTTAACGATAACTGCATATTTTTATAATACCTGTTACTATTATACCTTTGTTACGATAGCAAAAGTAGCAAACGTGGTAAAGTTCGAACATTTCTGCTTTGAGTATTTAACAAAATTTATTTTGGAAACCTGTTACTTTTGAAACTAATGGAAAAAAGGACCACTGCTTTTTTAACTCATTTTCTCGGGAGATAGGATTTCCGATAAGTTGAGTTAAAATTGCTTAAGGCCTTTGAAAAACACCTAAAGCTCAAGTCCTTAGTTACAACTGACGACCATCTTTTCCGTAATCAAACTACTTTTCCTCTTTTCAAAATCCTCTTTTCTCCTTTTGCAAATAAAATCCCTATAACAAATTCTCGTGCCTGTCCCTGATGAGCTGTATTTGTAATTAATTCCATTTTGTATACTTGGCATTTTCGCAAAACGAGAAAAACCTGGCAATACAGTTGGACAACAGGCGAGAGACAACCATCCATCAGCGGCAAAACACACAATTTCCAAGCCAAATTCAATTCGAAGTTAAGAGGGCGAGATTGTGGGCCGAATATGTACATACAGACATATATAAATCGGCGGCAGGGCGACTTCAATGCGTATTCGATTCAATAGCCCGGGGCCACCACCCTCGAAAGGCCCTTATTCCGCTTACGGCTTCGGGCCCGTTCCCTTTTTTCATTGTCGTAGGACGAGAGCAGATTCCTGTCATGTCCTCACGTTTCCTGGACCCGTGGAGCTTATGGCCCGGCTTAGTTTCAGCTGGGATTCCTCGTTTATTGATTGATTTTCCCCGCATTTCGGCCAGGCCATAATGGGCCGTGCTCGAGAATAAAAAGTCATCGATAATATTTTCTCGGCACTGGGAAATGTTCTAAAAATACAAACGAATTTGTAGTTGAACTCCTCCCCCAAAAAGTAAAAAACTAATGAAAAAGTTGCCATTCGGCTTTAAGGAACTTTTATTGACAAGAGTCCACTGGCTTCCTTTCATGTTCCATATTTTTTTTGGGAAGGTATCCTGCAACTGGAATTGACAAGGGTGAACAGCGGCACGTGAAAAACTCATCATAAAACCGAAAGGACAAAGGCGTCGAAGAACGCTTTTTTATTGTCCTCGTTTTTGTTTTTATTCCCCGCGATATACATCTTTCATTTCAGTCTCCTTTATGCCAAACAATTGGCTGGGAAAATTGTTTTTCAATTCTGATTCGCAATTAATTTCGCAATCCAGAAATAGAACGCATCGCGTAAACAAAGCAACACGGCGAATGCGCAATATTTGCTGTGTATTCAATTTCCACCTGGCCGAAAAAAATGGAAATCAGCTTTGGAGCGCAGTCAAACTTAAGTTGATAATATTAATTAGTTGCACAAGTTGTTGTGTTGCGGTGATAATGCCTCGAAACTTTGACGGATGTTGATAAATTATGTGTAAATATGAAATTTCCATGCCCAAAGTGAGTCACACTCTTCAGAAAGTTATTGCGCATAATTTGCGTCTTCTTCAAAAAGTGGCCAGCAAATTTTTGGGGCTGCCTGAATAAATAATCATAATTTTCCCCGCTCCCCACGCCGCCAATCAAAGGAAAGAACACGAAATGAAAAGAAATATTCACACAGCAGAAATTTAATTGTTTGGCCAAAAGGAAAGAAGAAACGAACGGAACGAAAACGGCCAATAAAAGCCACGACCTTCGGCCAAGAAAAAGCGAACAAAAAATTAAATCAAACCACCCAACACGGCCCTCTTTCTTTATGTACGTACATATATAGTGGGTGCGAAGGGGATCCAGATTTCTTTTCAGATTCGGGAAGCTCTTCAATAATTTGCTTTTTTATGTCGGAGACGCAATTTTGTTCCACCAATTAGAATGGGCAAATCGATACGAGACTGCCGCAGAATTTAGACACATTATTAACAGATGATTTTGTGTTTTTCTATTTGAAGAGTAACATTGGGTTCTTTACTCCCATTAAAAATGTATTTCATTAGATGCAATCCAGATGGATTTAAGGCTATGTTTTTGTATCATTTTTAGATGTAAATGGAAAGCTCATTTTTCCGTTCCTTAAAATGCTTAAAATCTGCAATTCCAAACAAATTTGTTTGTCAACTTTTGGCGCTTTTGTGTGCCAAGTGGGATTTAGTTGTCGTGTTTGCGGGACGCCTTCTCCTACTGCAGCTTCATTTTCTTAGCTCATTTGATTATACGAACTTGGGAACTTTTCCCCAGTTTTCTTCTTGCTGCCGTCTAAGACCTTTTCGAACTAATTAGGAGGGCAACCGCATTCTGCTTTGATGGCGGCAGGGGCAAAGTTTCCATTGGCTTTCCTTCGCCTGATCCCAGTCATTTGGCCTTCTCGCTCCCGGGAAACTTATCTTGATTAAGTTTTATTTTTCCCATATATATAGGTACCACGTATATACGAGTATATTGAATAAACGATAAAGTTGCGGAGCCGAGATAAGCAGACGCGGCACGTGAGGCAGAAACTATTATTAGTTGACAGAGTTCAAAATAGATTAAGCGCACGCCGCCGTCAGCCAATTAACTGGCGATCTACAAGCTCATTGATCCCATTCGGCTGGGTTTCTCGATTTCGGTTTCAGTTTTCCCAGGTTGTCAATATGCCACAGATGTCACTTCTTTTGCGGCAACCGATGACAGGTCCCCTGAAATGTGTCATCGGCCAAAGCGAACTAAAAGCTGGCCGCATTTTCATTTCATTTCTGCCCGCTGCGGTTTATTAGTCGTAAATTTGGACTTTCTTTTGTGCGAGACTCATAAATTTCATTGTCTCTGTGTGGATTTTAATATGCACGGCATTTGTCTGCAGCTCAGCAGAAAATGCTGAATGCTGAAATGAAAAACCACCCACGCATAGGATCTCCAGATGTATTTGGGACATATATATGTCGACAGTCTGGTGAGAAGAGGAATGGCAATATACTGGCCAGATTGACCCACTGAGTTCGCGTCTCGAGTCTGTCTCAATCTCAAATCCCCGGCGACTGATAACTTATCTACCGCCCACTGACGCATTTGCTGTGGACTTACTTATATCTAAAGTCTTGGCTTATCACTTTGTATATATATATGTATAAATGTATCTGCTATGTGCATGCTAAATAGGTTTGATTCCATGACGCCGTGCTCCGTCAAACGATTCAAACTCTCAGTGCTTTTACTGGTCATATGTTCCTAGTTATATATTTGAAGATTGCAAAGAAGGGGTAATTCAAAATGGGCTACGCACGAAAAAAAAACCCGCCGGGATCAATTCGATATGTTCATGGTAAAAGTATGGTATTTTTTTATATTTTTACCATGCAATACAGGTATAATTGATATTAAATAGAGCGAGATAGCGCTTAACGTTACATGAGTGGGAGGGAGTAAGACCCATTCGAAATTCCAACTGGACTGTTGCTTACATTTGGGTCATATCAAATTGAGATGCCGCTTATCAAGTCAAAATTGATTCCATACCAAGTACAGTGTTTCTTTTAACATTTAATTAAAATAAATAAAAATATCAAAATATTCTTAAGTTATTTTTAATAACAGATTCAAAACCTACTTACATTTCTAAAAACTTTTTTTTTGTTTTGAATAAAATTAGTTCAGTTTTAAATATCTACTTTCCTATCTCCAAGGTCGGAGCTTATCATTATATCGTGTATCTGTGTATGTGCTGCCGAAATGAGTTTGATTTGATGACGCGTTTTGGCTGATGACACCTGCGGTTTCAAGTCCTCACTAATTAGAAAAACTTTTCTAGTAGGATGGTAACTTTTAACTTTTGTTGATTGGAAAACTTTGCTTTTTATAGTGGCCAGGTGGGGGGAGGGGGTTCTTACGGTTTTCGGAGGGTAGGTGGGTGGAAATGATTGACTGGCTGATGGGCAGCGGCATTATCTGGCTGCTGTTGCTATTTTATTTTACTTTAGGGCTGCCCCGCTCACGCACTTTAGCTGCTGCTGCTGGGTATCTGACAAAACTTTGACTTTAATCGATTTAACAATTTTTCCCTTAACCCCTGCTGTTCACCCCCCTCCCCAGCCCCCACTTACCATTCCCCTGCCCGAAGGCCAGCTGACGAGCTTGTTGTGTTGCCCACAGGCAAACATCAAAAGTCAAGCAGCTGCGTGACGTCAATTGGAGCCACGAAGCGAAGGCCGCCGGAGTGGGTGGCTGTTGTTTGCCCCCGTCTTATGGAGAGTGTGGTCAAAAGAACGACCCACACATCCCGGACGGGCCAAAACGGGCCGGCATTACTTCTATTTGCCCACGTACAGCGTGTAATCTTTGGCCGGTTGGCGAGTTGCT